TGCCTGACGATATTTCAGATGCAATATTGGTGGGAGAGGCAATAGGATCTTATGTTGCATGGCCGTCAAGCCTCATTTTCATAGATGATGAGGTATGTTAACATTTGCAACGTTGAAAACTATTATGAACCTTTGAGTATTCAAATTTTTTACGACCATTTAACGTACATTTTTTTCATGGTAATGTTAGACTCCCACAAAATCCAAATCAAAAGATAAGGGGATTAAGTCGCAGACTAAGTCAGTTACATCCAAAAAGGAGGTAAATTGATATATAATATGCATAGAAAAAGTTAATTCACGATCTTATACTTTACCTAACTTATTATATGTATTTGATCTTTAGATTCATGTTAAAGACATGCTACAAGTTCATATGAGTAAGAAGCCTGAAATTGACAACATGTCCGCACAAAAAAAGGATGTGGAAAAGTCTGCAGCTAGAAAAAAGCCTACTTCTCAGTATAGGTCGTGTCTCCAGACATTAATGGGAATTTCAGATTTGGCTAACGGATGTGCTCGTATTATACCTATTGAGGAAGGTGTTTTTTTTTCTATTACGAAATAATAAGTAAAGAGGATGTGCATCAAGTTCTTAGACATGAAGAATTAGGCCTCGGTGTTGTCAATATATACATCAGGTATTCTCCGATCAACGTTATTTCATTTTTATTGAACAATTTATCTACTAATTTCAATAAATGGTCTTAATGTTAATGATGTTTTTATTTAAGTTTCATGTATGCCAACTTGATGCGCGCGCGTCAATTGGACCAAAGATTCTTCTTCTTATCTCCAAACAATATCAATGCACTATTAATCGAACAACGACCAGATGATGTCAAAGAGTATTTTGTCCGTACATTTATGATCAACAAAGATACAGAAAAATTGTTTCTTTTTCCATTTAATATTGGCAATGGGTAAGATTTTTATTCAAACTTCATCTATTATAATTTTTCGTGTTTTGACGTTCTGTAGAAAATTTCCATCTAACCTTTGTTAATCTTACAGTGGACACTGGTTATTAGTTTCGATCAATCCAATAAGAGAAGTTGTATATTATTTGGATTCGTTAGAAGGCGATTGGACAAAATACTCAAACATGAAGGAGATGGTTGATACGTAAGTTAGATTGTTCTAAATTTTAGTTTGTATACGTATTTATTTTTTTATGTGAGATTGTTCTAAATCTTCGTTTATATTTTGTTATGGTTATACAAATTTTTAGATCACAAAGAGATATTCAAGTACCAAAGAATAAGGCAAACAATATTACATGGATTAGAGTGCAGGTATATTTTCATAATTTTGATTATATTAGTGATGCTACTTGATAAAAAAGTTAAACTATATATACTTATATATTATTTGTATATTTTTCCATGTGTAGTGTCCTCGTCAATGCAATGGTATAGATTGTGGTTATTTCATGTTGAGGTTTATGAAAGAAATTATTCTTTTGAATCAAATAGAGATTCCAACCATGGTGTGAGTTTCTAATTTATGATTTATTTTAATATATTTAACACATTTCATCTAATTAATTAGTTTTAACTAAATCATATTATGTTATATTATGTAGTACTTTGATGAATACAATTCTTATACTTATTCGAAAGATCATTTGGACGAAATTAAGGAGGATTGATGTCAATATATTATTGAGATGAGAATTTATAAAGTATTGTGACACTTTCATTGATGAGAATTTTGAGTATATATAAGTTTGAGTTTTGATGAGATATTATGTCGTCATAGTGTGGTAAATTGTTGCAATGTTGTTGTTGTTATGTGGAAGGTTAGTTAGGATGGTATTGGATTTAAATTCAAACAAAATTTTGTTTGTGTCATGGTATGAATTAGGGAATTTTTAATGGTGGGTTATTAACGGATTCTTGATTTGTTTTTGTTACATTGATTTGTATTAAATTATAATAGTTATAAGATTTAAGTGTTATATATATATATATATATATATATATATATATATATATATATATATATATATATATATATATATATATATATATATATATAGCTTAGTTCTGATATATATGCCTTTGCTGGTTTTGTTTCAGGTAGATGTATATGTAGAAGATATATAGATTCATTTAGGATTCTTCATTGTTGTTGTTTGTAGAGAAGATAGTAGAGAATATAGCAGCTCTAGAAGATAACAATATGTACATTTGGTGCATATTTATTGGTTTATAAAGTTGTATATGTAAATATTTAAATTTATGTATATATAAATTATTGAATTCTTTAAGTTGTATCTCATTTATGTATATATAAATTGTTGGATTAAAGTTGTATAGATAAATATGTAAAATTGGTACATACTTATTGGATTGAAGCTTCAAATTTATAAAATCTGGTGCAAATTTGAAAGACAACGCTTAAATTTTAAGTGATTATGTGTACAGGACGCTTAAAATATAAGTTGAATATAATAAAAAAACTGTGAACATTAGACAGCGCTTTAAATCAAAAAGCGCTGCCTATTATGGAGAATAGAAAGCGCTTGTGAAAAAACAAACGCTGCCTTAAAGAGGACTTTAGAAAGCGCTTCAAAATAAAACGTTGCCTAAAATATAAAAAAGAAAAAAGAAAAAAATATATTAGACAGTGCTTTCTGAAACACTGTCTAAAGTGAAAGCGCTGCTATATGCATACTATAGAAAGCGCATATAATGTTAAAAGTGCTGCCTATATGGACCTTTAGAAAGCGCTTATTCAATAAAGTGTTGTCTAAGGTCTATATTAAGCAGTGCTTTCACATAGATAAAAAGCGTTGTCTATGGTTACAGCAGCGCTTATAAGCGCTGTCTATAGCAAGAAAAAGTGTTGTCTATTCTCTTATATGACGTAGTGTTATCAACTTGGTTTTCTTTTCCATTGGGGTCGAGATACAATGATTTTAAATATGAGTTTCATCGACTATACCATTTAGGATGTGTTGATGATTTTGAGAGAGAATGGAAGTTGATGGTTGTAGAGTTTGATCTTAATTGAGTGGATTCATTTTTTCTCCAATATATTTTAGATCTATTGGTTTTAGTTTAATCACAATTAATATATTTTTGTGTAAGTTGGAGTTGCGGTCAAAATTAGAAATCAAGCCGGAGAAAATCAAGAATGCGCCAAAGGTACCATAGTCCTCATATTAGAACATGTTTTCCTATTGAGGAACACGCTGCATCTATACTCACACCTTATGCCTTTAGGTTACTCCAACGAGAAATTGAGTTATCAACAAAATATGCGGCAACCGAAACTAACAAACACATATACATTGTGAGGCATCATACCACAACAGGAGGAGGCCGCTTTGTAAGTTGGATAGAAAACAATGAATCGATCTATTGTTCCTGCAAGGAATTTGAGTTTTCTGGAATATTATGCAGACATGTTATTCGAGTGCTTGTGATGAAAAATTATTTTTTCCTCCCTTTAAATGATCCTCCTCTTCGTTGTTGGATCGTTGGAGACAAGAAAGCTCATTGGTCCCAAAATCTACTCACATTATTAACTGCAATCTTTCAGTCAATGATTCAAATTCTAGAAGTTGAATCCTTAAAAACAAAAGACCGAGAACAAGTTGCAGTTAGAGAGTTAGAGAAAGTCGTTCAAGTGATTAAACGCATGCCTGAAATCCAAGAAAAGTTGGTGGATTTAGGTTCTGCTATTCCAAATAATGATGAATTGAATGTTGAAAATCCTTTAACTTCAAAAACAAAAGGGCGACCAAAAGGAGAAGTTGAAATTGCAAAGAAGCCTCGTCGTTGTCATGTTCCAAATTGTGGTGGAACTAATCATGATTCGCGGAACTGTCCAAATAAAAAGAAGAATATTGTATTACCATCTCAATCTCCTAATAAGTAAATGTCATTGCGATATATGTAGACTTTTGATCTTTGTATTATTCTGTGGAAAATTTTGATATATGAATCTAGTCTAAAGCAATTGTCATTGTGATATATGTTGATCCATCCCTTGATTCATGGAACCGCATAATTTTTGAAAAGGAGGGAGTAGCAATTTATTTTGATGAATCAACCATGACTCAGCAATCGTTGTATATATACTCATTATTATTGTATAATGAAAGATCAGGGAATCATAATTCTGTTAATTTAAATAGTATAATTAATTTTCAAAAACACAAAAATCTTTAACTTATTCCACGGAGTATCAATGGTGGAAAATCTCATAATTTAACTTTTATTATTATTAAGCTTGCATGCACATAGAAATTCTAATTTACATAAACTTGAATTGGGTTCGTAAAAATACAAGTAAATTGAAACTGCAGAAGTGTAACAGAACTGAGTTTGGAAAAGTGTTAGTAAATTGAGCTTGCAAACAATTTAGGTAAACCAAAGTTACTTCGAGTTGAAAATCTAATTTCAATTTAAGAATATTTTAGTCATTTGGAGATGTGACCAAAATTTTAGAAGTGTAACCGGAAAAAATAATTGATATGCTATAGGCATTACAAGCATCAATATAATTGTTAACTATTATGTGATCAGTTACAGAAGAATGTAGAAAGCTGAGAATTTAAAGTACAAAGCAAAATTACACAAATAATACAGGCTATAAAGGTTTTTTAAAGCGCTAAGGTTGCAGTGCAGCAAGAACTTTGACAAGCTCCATCTTATTGCTGGTAAAAGCATTGGGTTAATTCAGGATCAACAGAGGAAGGGGTTGTAAACACTTCCCAACTTAGTATGTAGTGGACAGCGATCACTTCAGATTTTATGTCACGGTTGACATAAACGTGCATACTTTCGCATGAAAATAAGCAAGATAAGCTCCTCTGCTAAAATATATAGTTTCTTCTCTTTTCACATTTTAACCTTTTGGCAAAGCAGCAAATCTGAAAAGTGATTGGCATAAAAAGTTACTGCTGCTCATATTGCTCAAGCAACTTCCTGACTCTCAAACACAGATGTTACAAGGGTAGACTGAACTGAACCCCTTTTAGTGCACAATCAAGTTGACAGGAGAGAAACCATTGCTTCCGCAGATTCTGGTCCATCATTATTCACACTTGGTATAATGTTATTGGGAGACACAAAATTTACAAACTCTTTGAGTTCTGTAAAGCTGGAATGCTCGCTGTAAGGAACTTCATACCTAAAAAATAAAACTTTGGTTGGTTAATAGTTCCGCAAACTTGAGCAACGCAAGCAAACTGTTTTTCCGACTATCTTTGTGCACCTATAGACTAATTCAGTGAATATGAATTAAAATGCACCATTGAGGTCAGAGATTTGATATAACAAGCTCAATTGAACCAAAAGAAGAGAGAGAGCAAGGTATATAATCATCGATCTAAAAGATTCTAGTGATAAAGGAAATTAAATCATCACCTTATAACAGTACCCTGCTGCCACCTTCTTCCAGGAGACTTCTTTTTACCTTTGCCAAATGTCCAACCAGTAGGAGAGAAAGCAACTATAAGACTGAACCGACTCTGAACAAAGAAAATACATCTGATAATTAGAAATGTGAAATTCAAAGTTAAACAATGCATAATTCAGTACTTACAATCCAATTCAAAAGCTGTAAAACTGATTAACAGGTAGACCAAGTAGCAGTCATGGATTATTTATCAGCCACCAAGCAATTTGTTTTGTCATGGAATAGTTACCAGACAAAAGATCAGATTGAATTAGTAAAGAATATTAGTATCTGTAGCTATATATGCATTGTACTTTAAGATATGTTCCTTGTCAACATTGAAAAACACCTGAGAGCTAGCATATAATGGTTTTGATAGAGAAACACGCAGCAGCACGCACTTACCGCATATTGACTTGATATGTGCTTCAATCTTTTGAAGCTTGCGAGTGTCCACATAGGGGCAACATGAATATTGCTTTCATGCTCATTTGAAGTAAACCACTGCATATCCTCCTCAGTAAATTCTAAACAGTTTAAAAGGCGTAATTTTGCTGCAGTTACGTAAACCTTTTTGCGAAGCGAACGAGCAACCTCCAAGAATAGCCTTTCTTTTCCTATAGAAACATAATAAAACACAAGGTGTGGTAATTTTTTCTCATTAGTCTCCATGTAGTTGGGCAAAGGGCAATATTATCACAAAAGCAACTGCCCAAATACTTAAAAACTATAAAACTACAGCATATTCAAACAAATATTAAAGGGAAAAGATAAATTAAGTATAATCATAAATAGCCAGAAATAGAGATGACTTGAGCTCTACCAATTGTATAGCTGCCAATCAGAAAAAGAGTCTTGGGATTAAAAGCTTCTGCTTGAATGGCGTCAATAACAAATTGTATTACAGCCTCTTGTTTTGGAAAATCATACTGCAATGAAACATATTACAAATCTTATTTGGCCTCTAAAACATAAGAAAATAGTTGGAACTGTAAGAGAATCCAAGGCCTCTGAGAAACCGTTGATTCAAGAAAACTTGTCAGGTCAGAAATTGAAAATCAATTCACTTTTACACTGTCTCAAGTAGACGGAGTATAATGTCTTGACTAGTTAACTATTATGTCATGAACATGAACAAAATGAAGTTAAGTTCCAAAGCAAACACTTAATAAGTCGTGTCATTTGAAAGAGATCATTCATTATTCACATATGGACTCACTTGCGGATTGCAGTATGTGGTATCAAGAATTAAAGTATTAATAGGACGTATCTGCAGAAAAGGGTTGTTTGCCATTTCTTCACTATAACGAAAATCACCTGTGTGAAGTACCACCTAGATAAACAGAAAACTAGCTAGTAAGTTCTAACCAAACAATGAGTAGCCAGCAAACAATAACTAAGCTCATTAGGAAGTCAGTCCAAGCCATACCTGACCATTCGGAGGTTGAAAGAGTATTATTATGGAACCTGGACAGTGGTTGGCATCCAAGCAAGTCACGCCAATACCAGCTATTTCAACCTTTTGGTTTAGAGGCAAAATATGTAATTTATCATATGGAATCCCTATGTTCATATTTACAAGTCTAGCTGTAACAGAGGAGCAATAGATCTTTCCATGATTGAACGACTTGGTGAGACCTTGATAATCTGCATTCACAAATGAGAACCAACAGCTAAAGAGCAAATTGGAAGTCTGATTGTAATAATGTGCTCATAAGGAGCTAAACACCTGAAAATTTTATTTGTAGTTTTAACTTGAGTCTCCAATGAGTTTATCATGAGACCTAAAACACAAACATATTTTTCTGGTAGGGGAATGTGCATCAAACACCCAAAAGTAATAGAAAAAGACAATCCACACTTTCATACGACATAGCACTGTCTCTCACTCTTGTGACTGTGTCATGCAGAACACATAGCTCACCACTTGTCAAAAAGTAATTTGTTACCAAATTGTCCACGATGCATATGCTTGATCCATCAATTGTTACTGTGAATATACAATCTCAAGAGTGATTGCATAAACTAATCACATGACCAGAGTTGAGTACTATGAAAAGAAAGCATACAAAATTATAAAATGTAGTAAACTGGCATGGGTTCATGGAGACCTGTGTCAAAGTTATCTAGAATTTACATTCTGTGTGCCTATTAAATACTAGTATAGGTAAGCTCTTAATTCTTAAAAGCCAAAACTTCATATCTAAACTGTAATTAAAGTTCAATGAAAACAACACTTGAATTAATTAGAATTTAGAGGCTAACCAAATTGAAACAGTTTATGAATATAAAACAAGGATCCATAAATTTATATAAGTATTGCATAGACACAAAAACACATTTGTTGCAAGAAATCAGTAACTGGACCTAGAATTTCTAAATGGCAAAGATTGAATGTCTAATACATGCAGAAACAGACTTACGGTCCATGTGGAAGTGTGTAAGAAACCAGTAGGAACAATCTCCTCTTAGGTATTTGAAAGCATCCTACATAAATTAGATGTGTTACTCAGACACTCGGATCCATATCAAAATAAAAAAGATATGACAAAAACCGTGATGAAATACCATAAGTTTTTAAATCTCCGTAGTATACTAGCTATCTACAGATGAAATCATTGTATACACATTTTTCTCTATCTTCTATTTTTTTCCTAGTTCAACATGTGAATATAAAACATGATCGAGAGGTATGATCAGCTTGAATTTTAGTCCAAGTGGCCATTAATCATTTTCTTGACTGGATGTGACAAATTAATTACCATGCACCGCACATGAAAACCCATTTTTTATGAGCAATAGTGCATCAGAATACAACATGAATGTTAAGTTGAATTAAAAAAGGTTTATTTTCAGATCAGTTAGAAAAAGCTTTCTTTCTAATCTAGCTATAAATCATCCGCTATGTCCTAGAGGAATGCATCAATGGAAAATACACAACATATAAACATGTATAAAATAGAATATCACTTACCACACGGAAAGGTGTTCCTTGTATGGCACACCATTTAGGAACATCACGAGTCTTTGTACTTGTTGACATATTTTTTGCTTTGCGCTTACGACCAGAAACTGAGCCACTGTTTTTCACTTCTTGTTGTTCTACGGGAGGTGGTGCAGTAACTTTCTTCTCATTGGTAGAAAATCCCGGAAAATATTCGGTAATCAATTTGTTTGCTACTGGTTTAACGGTACTGTCAACTTTTCGTTCAGATTTGTCATGTTGCAATCTCACATTCTGGTTTCTAATAATCCTCCTGGGCTCTACCCCAGAATTCTCTTGATTCTCATTTGAAGGGGCAACTCCTCTTCTAAGTTCTGAGAGGGCATGCACAATCTTTTTTCTGGGACCAAGTGCAGATATACCCATGTTTAAGAGATCCTACGAATATCAAAGGAAAAGACATGCATTTCATACAAACAACTACATATCTGTACTTTTTTTATGCTTCGCTTTGAAACTTTTTAGATGTAAAAACCCAAACCACGCGCAATTTTTAGATTTATAATAGCATAAATATATTCTTCAGAATGTTACTCTAAGGCCTAATTGCAAAATGATTACTTGGCCCAAGTAAGTTAAATATGGTAGGTTGATCTTTAATAGGGAGTACAAGAGCCTAAAAACCTCATTTTCAAATTCTGCTTAAAAATTGAAGATTACATTCAAATAACTTCAAGGTCTAAGTCTGAGTGGCGAAACATATAAACCTAAAAGTGATTGTATGAGCTGATATAGGGAACAAACATCAACTCACCTCTTCAGTCAGCCATTGCAAGGTATCCCAATCAACTTCTTCCCTAACAAAAACTTCTTCATATTTAGCTAAACCAAGATCACGTATCCAATCAACAACAGGCGAAACTTTGGGCCCAAATTGAGCACCCACCTCATCACTAGGAAGAGCAACCTGCATAAATTATCAAGATTTCGACAGCATTAACTTATAACCAATAACCAAATTCTACCCATTTCATCCTTCAATTCTTCAACTTTGCCGTTATATTTTGAATGATAAACTAGAGGGGCAAAAACACTAAAGTTCCACTAAAAATTGAAATTGATGCACAATTCAACTGCATAGTAATAGTTATCGATAAAAAAAACTGGATAGAATTATCTTACATCTTCTCCAGTTTTATCAAGACAGTGATTGGTATGAAGATTCCGCTCTTCCTCCGTTAAATTAGAAATATCATCACCACAAAGAGGACAATCAACTGAACCATCATACTCATAGCGCGAATTCCCCTTCGAACCAGACTCTCCATAATCAAACGTCTTCGTTCTCGATACCACCAGCTTAGACTCTAACGAATTGTTCGAATAAGCGCGTTTATTATCCTTCTTCAGCTCCGACACAGAAGAACAAACCGCTTGAACAGAGGCTTCGGAATCTAAGGTGGAAGCAATGAAATCCAAGCTACAGTTACCGATTTCGTAAGGGGGAATGTTCTCTTTGCCAGGAAACGGAGTCGTTTTGGTTTTGGGTTTCTTGGATGGTCCTTGATTATTGGAAAGTGATAGAGGTTGAGTGAGAGGAAGTTCAAAATCGTCGCTGTCGGAGAAGTGAGTGTGATCCAAATTCGCCATGGTTGTAAAGCTTGGTTGTTCTGTAAGATCTTGAACAAGATGTGGATGATGGAAATAAGAATATAATAATAGCGCCTTTTTGAAAAAACGATTGGAGGGAAAGTGAATTTTTGTTTGTTTTGAATCTCCCTCTATTTGCTAAATGGGCTAGGAGCCAAGCAGCCAAGCCCATTCTAGTTATTGGTCCGATCAATTTTCTTTTGTTTTATTAATTAAGGAAAATGCTTTTTCCAAGCATACCATACTATTGAAAATCTGATTTTGTCATTCATGTGTCTGGGAATGTATTTCTAGATGCACCCAACATCACGACAATCCTCTGTTTTCTAAGTTTCACCCTAGTTTTGAAAAAATATAGCATGAAGACGCATCTTCGTATACAGTTTAGGTGTAGTTGAAGATGCATCTCTAAAATACCCAGTGTATTTATTTATGGTAATTTGTTATTTATGCAACTGATTTTAAAAATAATTATTTTATGATATTTTTGGAGATGTATCTCCATAAATGCCCAGTGAGAAGGTTGATAAAACACCACCTTTCATGAATTACTTCTTCATACTAAAGCGAGCAACCATTGCAAAAAACCCTTGAAAAAAACTCTCTTATTCTCAATCATCTTTTCAACACTAAAACCCTAATGGAGTTTAATCCGCGCATGCTAGACTTAAGAATTGGTTGGAAATTAGTAAATGTGATTTTTGTTGAGATTGAGACATTGTGAATTAAATGCTCTAAAACCAACATAATGAGATTATACACATCTTTTAGACGAAGCATTATTGTGTTAAAACATCGATTCGAAGATAATATCATTTACTCACAGTTGGTTGGTAACGTATCTCGGGCGGTGTTTAATTTTATTTTTCATGAAGCCAAACGAGTGGATAAAACAAGTATAATAGCTCAAAGTGTGGATGTACACTTAGGAAGACTTACGGTCTTCCACGTGCTTGTTTAATTTTAAAAAAGTTGAAGCATGAAAAAGCAATATGTATGGACGTAGTTTGCACTCATTGGACCTGGCTCTGTTTTACTGATGATGATGATGGTGTGAGGAAGTATGAATCAAATATATCTATCGCGATTGAATGGTAAGTGATCCAAGATAGATTCATGGAAGCCGATGACATCGTGAAATTGCACAACAAATAACAACTTAGGAAGATTTGATATCTAAAAACAACGGAATTTGAAACCACAACCTGAACTAGTTAAAACAAAAGGTGCTCCTACAAAGGTAAAATCAACTCAAAGTGACAACTCCACGAGACGATCTCTTTGTATTTTGAGCATGTTGACTCACATTGTAACATCCATATTTCTCTAAGAATGAGAATGTACTTAGTGAGAACTAATGAATATTAATGTCAATATATCATTGAATATATAATCATATACTAAGAGTTGTTAAAAGGAAGTTTGGTTTAGTTGGAATCGAAAGAGCTTGTTAGAATTGGACCAAATGGCAAGGTTATAAATACTACTTAGTTAAAGGGTATTTTGGGTCTAAAGGAGAAAGTATGACATAAAAGAGTTAGTTTGAATTATGGGATCAAATTTGGAGAGAGGAAAGAAGAAGCATAGAGCAAGACAGAAGAAGAGGGCTCATGTTCATCACATTCATGTTCAATTTTCGCACCTTTGGGTCATCTTCCATTTAAAAGATAAAAACTTTCTGCTCGTAACTCTGATTTAAGTTATTCGAGACTTTTTAGAAAGCTCACGAAATTCCCTATGTTTTGCATATAATCTTTGTCTCCTGCATGTTTGTGATGAATAAGATAAACGCGATTGAAGTTTGGGAATTCATGTTGAAAATGGGTAAAAGAGGAGCTACGGATTTGATGATCATGGATGTGGAATTTTGATTAAGAGTGAAACTCAATAGGAGATTTATCACCATCCAAACCTACATTGATATAAGGTGAGTTCCATAGTTATAACTTGGGTAGGAATAAGATGAATTTCATGTTAATGGGTTAGTAAGTTAATAACCTGAAATGTATTTGTGAATTGATTTTCGATGAATTCTCATGTTGCATGTGTTGATTATGTTGTGTTTTAGCTTATTAAAATTATGATGTATGTTAATAATGAGTGGATTATGAATTAGAAAGGAAGAATGGGTGTTAGAACCCTAAATTTTGTATTCTGCATTGTTCTGACTTTTCTGCATTTCGCAGACTGTGCTTAGCGCGCGGGGAAGCGCTTAGCGCACCCTCCTAGTACGGAATTGAAATGTTTCTCAGACTGTGCTAGGACACCGCTTAGCATGCCCTCCTGGTAGAATTTTATTGTTTAATTCCCTTGAGTGCAATCTAGTTCTATATTGGGTACCAGACGCCTTCTTAATCTTTGTGACTTATGGAAACGTATTGCGGAATTCGTAAAACTTTGTATGATCACTTAATATGCTAATGTTACGAATGTGTATGTTATTACACCCGCTTGTTGAAAATGCATTAGGTATTAAATGCTATGTTGTAATCAATTGTGGTTTCTCGTTCGTTTCAGTTAAACATTCTGAAGTGTTTGCCTGTGTGGCTTGATGAGTATGTGACTGTATGATATATGCTTGAATTGAAGTAGGCCTGGATAATAGATGGTAAAACACTTATGATTGTGACTTGTGTTGTGTGATTGATTATTTATATTTTTTTGATGTCCAGACGAAGGTATGAAAAAGTCATTTCCCACTGGAGTGTATCTAAAGCATTAGCATTCTCGGTATGTCATACACATATGAGCTACCATTGCAATGTGCGGGAGGGGGTCATATAGGGAATTTTCCCACCCAGGTTACACATTGGTGTTCTTGGCATGGTGAATGGTTGTGATTCCACGTAGGTAATATCACTTCGGAATCACCTCTAGTGGTGCCAAGTAGGCAATACCATTAGGCTTTCGCCCGGTGGGCTTGTGCTATCAAGAAGGCGTGTTTTTGCACGAAGGTACTCACATACGTGTAGATGATTGACGAGGTCGTAACGCCACTTAGGAAATGTTACTTTGGAACCTAACTCGTCACGAATGATATTCCATATTAGGATCCATCTGAATCACCGTGTAGTGTGCGTGTACAAGTCTCTTAACGTGATGCACTTAGTTATTCATTGAGGGTGTGAATGTATGGTCTATGTAGTAGGCAGAGAACTTACTTCTGGATTTCTCATACACGGGTACGGGTCTGCATACTTATTTGTTTTAACCTCGTTCGAGGTGAGGTAGTTTCCGATAGCATAAAGGCAGGTAAACCTGGAATACCCGACCTGGAGGAAACTGTCACCCAATAATCTGTTTGTGTTTATATGTGTGTTTGTTGTTATCCCATTGGTCATTCATGGGACTTCCAATGGTGATGTCACCTCCTTTGTGTATGTTTGTATTGGATTGTGAGGAAACCCCGGATCCACGGAAAATCTGTTTTAATTGCATGAACCTTGTAGAACCGAGTGAACCCATAAGATAGAGAAACTCACTAAGATTTAGTAATCTCACCCTAATCCTCTTATCATTTTTCAGGCACATGTTATAGGTAGAAGGATTGCTAGATAGACGATACTGAAGACTGCAGATGAGCAAATGGTAGGAAGACCTCGTCAGATCTTATCTTTTTGTTGTGTATTATTGTAGACAAGTTGATTGTATACATTCTGATATTGGAGTTATGTTGTATAAAATTTAAATTTCTTGTCTTTTATAGCTTTTGTATGTTTCTTTGTACCATTTATATCATCACTACATATTATTCTAGATATATATGTACAGGGTGTTACAATTGGTATCAGAGAAGGTTGATTCTTGTCCCTGTCATGAAACATCACTAGCAATTCTCTTATTCCTCACATGTGTGTGTGTTGCTATCTTGATTTCTACTATCATATTATCCATTCACTAAGTCTGATTACCTCATTGATTGCATATGCGATGGATAGGATAACGGTGGATCCACCACAAGGATGCGTAAGATTCAAAGTAACTTGAGCTTGATTGGTAGAAGTTTGTTAATTTAGGAGAATGTTGGGATAGTCGAGCATATATGGAGTGTTTGATGCAGAATAGTTGATAGCCCAACTTTTATGTTGAGATTTAAGACATTTGGAATTCCTAAGGTTTCTACTGGATGAAGTGAAACTTTCTCTAAGTCCATGCAGCGGTGGAGGATATTAACGAAACACCTAAGAAGGAATGTAGTAAGGGAATTATGGGATGGAGTTGGACTTAAAGTCGGCATAATTCACTACTCAACCCTGGTTCCAGTGGCAGATATAACTAGAGAACCGATTGGATGGAATGACTTTTGGGAGTTTAGACAAAGAGACCAGACCGTTCTGGTTACTCTGGCTTGGATGGTAGTTGGATGGATAGGGTGATATACTCTGAATCGTTTTGGAGTACCCTAAGAAGTAAGCAGTTACCTAGTAAAAAGTTGGTAGGATGTGCGAAAGTGATGGTCTATAATTGGGAAAATATTGGATACCCAATTAGTGAAGGGACTATTGTGTCTCTATTCTTGCCAGTCTGTGATTAAGTCTTAAAACTATGCTAGGCGGAAGTTGAAGTGAGAAAAGGCATGAAATACAGTAGCCTAAGTTCCTTTCTAGTTATGGTTCATCTAACCCCGAGTGAGGCCAGAGAACTACGGTTGGCATTGGGTGATTAGGTGAATGGAAGCTAGTGTCTCTCTGAAGCATCAGCAGGATGACCGCAATTGCATTGGTTATTTAAAACCATGGTATTCCTATCTGAGAGGATTATCCTTATAATCTATTATGCATCACTGCGTGAATGGATACACGCGTGGTATAACAGTTCGAGCTGAATTCTTACCCAGTCTCGCATAGCTCGTTGTCTTCCGAATAAGTGAACCCTGAACATGTGACACTCTTGGGTTTTAGCATCCTAAGAAGTATGAATGAAAGGATTTGAGGAGCGATGACCTCAATAGAGACCTGTCAAGTTGTTGTTGATCATGATTATAGGATACAGGTGGAGAT